TTAAATCCACTTTTTTTGTAAAACACCTTTAAATTTTCTAATCAAACCCAGCATTGTGATTTAAAAGCAATTTCCTTCAACACAGACTGGCGTCTTCAGGAGTTTTCTGCACTGCAGAGATCTGAGAGAGGGTTTTTTCCCTGAGTGGGTGAGGGGAAGTGAAGGATAATATTGATTTCAAAGAAGGAAAAGATTTTACTGTGTCTGCAGCTCCTTTACGAGACAATTTGCACTTTTAAAAACTGCTTTTTAACACTAATACTTTAACCCTTTCCAAATATGCACGGAACATGGTTTGTCCAGCACACTTGCCTAGTGTGGGTGAATTGCGCTCGGTTGAACAGACCCCATGTTGTGTCAGGTTGAACTGCTGGTGAGAGGTGTGTGCTCATCAGCCGATCCCACCACTGAACAGTGGGTAAAGCTCCACTGGAGCAGACTTAATCCCTCCTAGAGCCTGTGAAGAGATAACATGAAGATTGTCTTTGGATGGGAAGACGAAGGTGTTGGTGACTTTGGTTGTTGACACTTCTGCTATTTTCTAGAGTTAAGTAGTTGAGATGCAAATAACCGATGCTAACTTTCCTTATTCTGGCAATCTAAGAAAAGAGCTGGTGAGTTTGGTTTGCTGTTAGCTAAACCAAAAAACTGGTCCAAGGTAAGTGTCATTAGAAGAGTATAGATATAAACTAGCAATGGCAGGGGAAGAAGTATTTGCTGTATTTTTATCTTTAAGGGTTAACTTTGCACCAGTGTGCCTTCCCTTCCTGTTGGGGGTGCTTGGGACCTCAGATTTTCAAGTGACATCCTTCTATGTCACTAGTTTGTTTTTTTTCCTCCCCCTTACAAACACTTGAGAGAAATAACAGGGTAGTAGGATTCAGCTTTTCTTTTCTTCCCTGTTTAGATTGTGGTGAAATCTATATTTTCCAGTAGATTTTGCACACAGACTTTGTTCTGAATAAGTCAAAATACAATCCATCCAGTTGTGATTTAACCTGGAGGGAAAGAACATCTGCTCTTTGCATTATTACTACCAAAAAGGCAATCCAGCTGAAAGTCCAGGAAAATGCAGATGTACTCTTCCCTCCGCTGTTTTCTGGAAGCTAAGGTGGATATTGCCCTGCTTGACTGGAGGGTTTGTTCCAGAAGGTATCTCGATTTGATGACAGGCCCTTTGCATGGTACCGTTCAACTAAATTAGGTGTGATTCTAGGCAAACTGGCTTATGATGCCCATTGGTCTTCATAGGTGAGTGGGATTCAAACAGCATTTAACCTGAGACAGAGAACAGCCCTCGCTTCTGGTTGGCTCCTGTCCCCATGCCACGGTCAGGCCGTTGGAAGTACGGTGTCACTGTGACAAGGCTGGGACAGTTCCATGGAAACAAAACGATGGTTTGGGTGTACAGAGGTGCCCGGGTGGGGCTGGGCTTTGCCTCTGCACCCCTGAACACGTAGCAGTCTATATATGCACTTGGGCTTTCCATTTGCTGCAGCTTCAGAGCAATAAACCCCGTCTCCCCTGCGCTGAGCCCGGCCAGCCGCCCGAGGCTTTATTTATGAACGGCGGTTGTGGCCGGGTAGGAGAGGTGAGAGTGTCACTGTGCAACGTCCACTGCCTTCCAAAAACCACGACTCGATCGAAAAGGGTGCTCGAAATTTTGTTATACACATTTCCTTTGTGTAAATAAATGTTTACAATTTTATATTAAAGATTTGAATAAGAGTTAGATCTTCTGACTGTATATTTTTTACTTTTTATAGATTTTAAAACTATAATTCTTTATATATGTGTTCGGGGGGTATTATGGTAAGTTTTATGCTTGTAAATGGAGAACAGTTGAATTTGATGCTAACCTTTATGAATTTTTGTCATTGAAATGTATAAAGAGTCCATTAACCCCCTTATTCTTTTACTACAATTACTGGTGCACACCAAAAAGAAATCCTTCACTTCTGTTTTATCATTATAAAATAAATATTTTGCTAGTGTATTAAACATATGTGGTGTGAGTCAATACGTTTATGTGAACTGAGCAGGGTTCAGCATTGCTGTTCCTGGTGAGATGGATCCCTCCATCCCAACACACAGTTTTGGTCAGCCTGTTACTAAGGCTCAGATTCCTTTCCTCTGTCTTCTCTTACAGGTTCTTACGGTTTCAGAGAATCCATTTAAACAGGTCAGAACTGGATAGAGAGACCTTTGAAAACTTTACTTTGAAAACAAGGCTTTATGCTACACCCACTGCTTCTGGATTTTTTTTTTAATGCAGTTTTAGGCCTTGAGCTGGGAAATGAGCCTGCAGGGGTGGGTGCTACTAGTGAAAAAGGTGTCAATGACTACTGAGACACCTCAAGTGCAAAATTAGTTCCAAAAATATGCCGATTCCCTCAAAAACAGGCCTTAGAGGTTCAGACTGGTTTTCCTGAGGCTTCTAAAAAGACAAAGGTGGTTTGACATAGGCAGATGACACACACCCCCCAAAAAAAACACAGACTGAGAAATGAGGAACATGTAGTGCAAGCATGAGTGAGCGTTTCTGGCTTCTGAACAAGGAGCAAAATACTGGCAGCGAGTTGCACGAAGATTTTGGCTTAAAGCTGGTAAGGTTCCTAAGGCACTGTAGAGCTGGTGGGTTGAAGAGGCTGTGGCAATAATAGTGAAACGAGTCTTTTAGACCCTGCTGGGTTGTTGAGCCTCTTACAGTGGGCGCTTGCCATGTGTTGGTTGGAAGTAAAGGGAGGACCTGTAGCTCCATGGCACCCAAAGGAGCCTGGCTGTAGCGTTTGGGGTTAACACCTTCTTAACAAGTCATTACTTGACACATGACTCCAAATTGAACGTTTCGAAGCAGTTCTTGGTGAATCATCCCACTTGCAGCAGACCCAAGACTTCAGTTATGTAGCATTTCCTGTTTGTCGAGTGCACTTCTTAACTGATGAAATCTCGTCCTAAGTTCTAAACTAGTGTCTCACATCTCTCCAACCACAGATTTAGCAGTAGTGATAAGGAATTTGCCAAGTGACATATAGGTTTCTTGCCATGGCTGTACCCATTTTATGGGTGTCTGTGATTTCAAGCATCACCCTGTGTTATAAGAATTTTAATCAGCTTCAAGCATTGAAGGATCATTCTCCGAGCACGGAAGTTGGTCTCTTACTACTTAGCTGTTGTGCTTAAGGCCCCAGCTCAGACCCTTCCGTTTTCCTCAGATTGCATCCTGACTCACCCAAGTATATTTTGAGTATATTTCTACTCTACAAGTTGTGGTTTTGGGGGAGAAGGGGACCTGTAACTTCAGAAGCTTGTAAAGAATGAAATGTAGTAATAAGTAACAATACCAGGATGAGCTGCTTCTAGCCTGGGGGGAACTGTGAAGTTCCTACTTTATTAACTTCTATTCTATTGTCCCATTAAAAGTTCTACACTGTATTTAACGTTGAGTAAAACACATTTCCCAGACTGTCCCCTCTTCTGCATACTTCTCAAAATATTTTCAGGAGTCAATGGCAACTTGTGACCAACCTCTGCTCAGAAACAAGGTGGGTTTTGTTTTGTTTGTTTTTTTCTTCATGTTAGTGTTTTTCCTGAAGCTAATGTAAACCTCTGATGGAAGAGTTTTCTAAAGCCTGGATTGTTTGCTGAAATGGTGTAAGCAGAAGTTGACCTCTGGTGACATTTTCCCTCTAATTTTATATTAGAGACTCCAGATGAAACCTTGGGTCACCAATAGAGTCTCTTAAGGTTAATTGTTTTATTTCTGTTCCAGCCTGGGTCTGCTAACAGCTTGCAAGGTCTAAAATCACATATGAATGTTTTGCAGAGAAAGGCAGTAATTTTGCTATTCTACATGCATGTTGTTTTTTTTCAAGTGTACAATTGCATATTTGAATTAAGTTTTTGACTTGATAAGCTGCCCTGATGGGGTTTGAGGTGATGAAGAGTTGGAAGAAACTTGCTGCGTCCAACTCAGGAGAAACTGGAGGTCTGGTCACTTCCTCTGGGTATTGTGCACAAATTCTGAACTGAGGGTTTATGAATGTGTGACAGAGAGAGAAATGCAATGGCTCAGCCATATCCTGCCCCCTCTCTCCACCAAAATTACAGGACAACTTTAGCTGACAACAAATGATACCTTTTCTTCCCCTTTTTGGTTTGAAAAAACCTTAAAATCAGAGTAGCCTTACCCATATAAAGGAACTCCAACACACAGGATAGCTTTTTGAGCTGATGCTTATTTTGCTATTGTGGAGTGGGGATAAGAGTTATTCAGGGCTAAAATATTGCTGGCTTTCAAATTTTACCTTTTAAAATTATAATTCTGATGTCAGTGTAACATTTCTGTGAGGGTCCACGTTTCTGCATCCTCTGCTGCCTTCCATTCAGAACAGAGAACTTCTGTTTTGTATGTTAGCCAGGAAAAGGTTTGTACTGCAGGATTTTAAAAACATCAGAAAACTACAGAAACTGAATATCTGAACACACTTTTAAAATTTCAGAATCCAGTAACAGAATTAATTTATTCCATCTGAACTCTGAAAAAAAACCAAAAACCTTCATGTGGTCAACTCCACTACTTGGAATAAGAGCAGAAGGTCGACTAATTAATTTGTAAATGCTTGCTAATAATTTTTACAACCTCACACATCATTTATGTGCTTTAGGGCTGATTAAAACCAGCAATAAAAGGGCTGAAAACAAAACCCGTCAGCCAGCAATGTATAGTTCAGTCCTGGTACAAACTCTGCAAATGCCATTGCAAGAGTTTCTCGTGCAAGGCTTTTGCTGACAGGTCATTCAGCAAAGGCACTTGTCTGGACTAGCTGTTCTCTGGTGGCTTTGGGAGATGGTGTGGAGAGAGTTAAGGTGTGGTGGAGGAAACACGTGTTGGTGCAGAGCAGTGAGGAGACTGATGTAGAGTGTGGGAGGGTTGGAGAGAGGACTGGAGAGCAGCTGTCCTCCCGCACCTCGCCGGGGCCTGGTCCATGGACAGCAACATGAGAGAGCAGATAGACCTGCTGGCCACTGTCACCGTTTTGGGAGTCCTAGAGCAAGGTAAAAGTCCTTTATATAACGCTAGGTAGTACTGAGCTAATTATATTAAACTTTGTGGGACTTGGTTCCTGTATTTTTCTTTGAGTCCCCATGGACTGAAAGTTGCTGTTTTCCAACATTTCCAACATTTCAGGATGCTTGGCTGGTCACGGTGGAAGTGCTGTGCCTGGGGAGGTTCATGCTTTAACAGGGACTAAGATGATTCACAAACCTCCAAGCCAGCATCCTAGAAGGAAATTAAATTGAAGTTTTACTTTGAAATTTAAAACAATTTCAACAATCAAATGTCTTCAAAACACTTCATCATTGACTTTTAGCAGATCATTTTTAACATGGAGTGGCTGGAGGTAGCCCAAATAATGCTGGGTTAATAAATTAGCTGGTGAGGAGTCTAGTGTGCAAACTTACACTGTATATGGAAAAGCATCCTGTGCACACGTATTTCTCCTCTGTGACCAGTACTGTGTGTTTGTGTAGCTTAGCTGACGTGATGAGTTGACAGCACACAGTAATTTGGAAACTAGCACAAGCCCTTCTGGTCAGAAATGGATGCAGACACCTTCAGAGAAACTTGTTGACTTCTCGTCATCAAAATAGATGTGTTTGGTTTAGACAACTTAGAAAGAAGTGATGGTGTTGCCAAGCTCTGCCTGCCTCCCGTGTCTAGTTGTGTGTCTCTTGGGCAAAAGCCTTTTCCTCCTCAGGCTTCAGGAGGGTCATGGAAGGGGACGTTCCCCCTGCCTGGGGTGGGGACAGAGCCCTCATTTCATTAAAATCTCCACATTTCTGTGAGGGAAAGTTTGTTTTGGGGAGATTTTTTGTTGTTGAATTAATTTGGTGTAGAGCTACCGCACCTCTTTGCATGTGTTTTCTACAGATAGATGTGAATCTCTGAGCAGCCTGACGTGGCTTTAGCCATCAGATGATAAATCTCTTTAAGTGTTAATTAAAATAGATGCTGTAGTTGCGCATAAAGACTTCTAAATTATCAGTAATTTCTCTTACACCATTTATAAAGAAATATCAGCAACTACAAATGGGCGATACTTTAATCATTAATTTTTTTTGTTATTAAGCTAAGTGGGGATGAAGAGAGTGTTCAGCACGCAAAGAGGAGACACGAGAACTTGAAACAGTTATGGAAATTTTGCTCAGCCCTTTCCATTGGGAAACCCTCAGCAGCCAATTCCAAGATAGTAGTTTTGTCTCAAATATGTTTTTCTGAGAACTTCAGGTATTTTTTAAAGACCACAGCTGTAGGCATTTTACCTTCCTGCTATGCAGACCATACATAGCTGTGAAGCCAGCAAGCACTGGCACGCTCTTACATTAAATCAGATAAAGTAGCCTCATTTTATGGTCTCCGCATGGGGAGCCAAGGAGCAAGGATAAAATGCTGTGTGTTTCCTTTCTCTCTACTCACACAAAACCTGTGCTAATGTCACCTCTGTGCAGAGCTGTGCCACACGTTTTTTGCATCTTCTGAAAAGACATTCTGTGTGTGAATTGCAGCTCTGAGAAGCACTCTGAGAAGGCAGAGCACTGAAACACCAACGTGTGTGCAAATGCTCTTCCATCACATCCTGATGTGGGAGATGTAACAGTGTCTGGGCTCAGTACGATGTTGGTTGATTTTAATTTTTTTTCTTAATCTTCTGGAGCCAACAGTTTCTGCATTCTTTCCAATAACTTTCCCCTTCTTAGTTTATTGCTGCTCAGTTTAGCAAAGCTCTGTGCTTAGTGCTCTGTAGATCTGGGCCCCTGCCCTGGGTTGGGCGCTGTACCAGAGAGCAGAACAATGCCACCACAGTTTTGGGGTTTGTTTCCCCCCACTTTTTTAATGGCTTCAAAGGAAATAAAGCTTATCCAATGTCATTGTCTGTCAGTTGCCACAGAGTTTGTTTGCCAGGGTCACTCAGATGTAGCAGGTATCAGGCACAACACAGTTTGGTAAGCTTGTGCACATAACCAAATAGAGGATGCAGGCCTGGCTGATACTTCCGTGAGGTGCAAAGTGCAGGGAGAGCTCAGCCCCTGAGCTGGGGGGGAACCCACGCAGCTGTTTTGCCTTGAGATGTGAACCACAAGAAACCAGTTTGAAAAGTTCTGCAGAGTAGATTGAATTCTGTTCCCCGAAAGTCCACTCTGAGAAGGTTTGTACCATGTGCTGTGTTTTCAACACCTCCTCCTGAGAAGTGCTTTTGAAGGGTGATTCTGCATCCTTAATGTTTCACCTGTACACCAGATTTGGAGGACAGCTCACCGCCCTCCAAAAGGCTCCTGATCCTCTTGGGTGGTTTTATGTTATCTGTCCCTAAGCATTAAGGGATCTGTTGGAGGATTTGTCTGAATACTTGCCCCTGTACACAAGCCAGCTGTTAAGCGTGGAGCTGATGGAGAGGTTACGTCTTCTTTTCCCAGAGCTCTGCCAGCCACTGCTGCTTGGCCAGTGGTGTGTTACTGCAGAGCTGGCTGGCTGGTTTCACAGAGGGGTGCTGTGCTGTATCCCACCAGATCTCACAGGCAGGACAATGTCCTCACCCTTGACCATAATCAACATGCTGCACACAAATCGAGGGGGACAAAGCAAACCCATTTCTCCCCACCTTTCTCAGCACCTCTTGTTTAGGGCTGGGTCACTGCACGCACCGTGGAAGACACTAGATCATGTGAGTGCTTTCCTAAATGTATGTCTATGTGCACTTAAATAATATGTTGTGTAATACACAGATCATATAGCATCAGATTATTTACATTTCTAATTCCCTTTTCTTCTGCATATGTTCTGATTTCCTACAGGCACGCAGTAATCTGCCTTGTCTTTCCCTACTTCTCTTTCTCTCCTGCTGTTCTTCTTTTATCCTCTTTCTTAGAATAACAGTCCACAGGGCAGTCCTTGCAGCCTGGCTCCTCGTCTCTCTGTTCAGTGCTCTGGAAATGTTGCTATGGTAGGACCTTGCTAATCCAAGCGACTCGCTTAGCAGCACGCTGCCACAGCAGAAGTAATTGTTTTTATCATTTACTTTTCTCCTGTATGAAAATTCTCATTTTCAATAAAGGCAGCAATGTAGCAGTGCACCTAAATATAAACACTTGAAATGTCATCAGTCACCTGTGGGAGTTAAGGATTAACAACAGTGACATGGTCCAAATCTTCACCTTAACAAGTTTTCATCATTTTGGAGTGACTTTGTGTCCCCTACGAACATAGAAAGGAGTGATGTATTGGACACGGGGTTAGTGGCTCAGCCCAGCCCTGGCAGAGGTCGATGGCAGTGGCTGGCAGCACGGCTGTCTGCTCCACGAACCCCTCGAGCCTTGGGACTCCCCTGCGGGGGTGAAGTGGAAGAACTAATCACCCCCTCCCCCGTTTCCTTCTGTTGCCATGATTGCGAACGTCTCTAATTGGCTTGATGATGATCCCAGTGCTTCAGTTGGGATGCTGCTCTGTGATGTGGGGCCTGCTTGTATAAGAGCTCTGCACCTGCCAGCTCTAGCGGAAAGTGTCAGACACCAATTCCCACTGGGCAGGCTGAACACAAGATTAAAATAACCAATTTTGTGATGGAGTGTGGATTCGGTAAGGTTTTGGGTGCGTTGCTGGCCTTCCAGCAGGACCAGGGCATGTTTGATCTGCTGGGGAGCAGCACCAGGGGCTCTGCTGCTGGGGGTGAGCCTATGCAAAGCACGGGCCAGCTCACGGCTCCGTGGCACCGGCTCTGCCAGCGTAACCAAATCTGAATCTGCAGGGTGAGCGTGAAATAAATGGCACTTTTATTCCAGGCTGTGTGAGACAGCTCTGGACTCCGAACCTAGACAATATCAGCTCTTTTCCTCTAACCACTAGCTTGATTCCAAGCTAGATAAAGCTTGGCTAAATAAACCACTGCCTTGTTCCTGTGTTCTTTTTTTAGCCTATCTGGTGCTGCAGGTGATCTATGCCCGGCGGAAGTACAAGATCTCCCCTCCCGAGACAACAGGGCACCCCGAATTTGAGCGGATCTTCAGAGCTCAGTAAGATTTTGACATTTTTGTAGTGGCTCCATCTAGAGATGACTTGAGTCAAGCGTCACTACCAGGAAAGACTGGAGTCACCTTTTCACTTAATGTTACTGGCACTAGTTTATTTTCTCTAATGCTTTGCACGCAGAGGTCTGAGCTCTGATTTGGAGCCTTTGCTCTGGCTGGAGGGCTTCTGGCTATCCACAATAACCCTCCGTGGCACTGAGAGGCAGGCAAATTAGAAACTAGGGGCTATATGCAAGAGGTGCTGAGCATTTAAGGCATTATAATCATTAAGTTGAATGCTAATTTTGATGCAAATTGTGAGAGTAGCTGAAGCTGTATTAGTAATCTAATATTTATTTGTAAGCTTTTGCTGTTGAATTGAAGCAAAGGCCCTTGCTGGCAGAACCAGCTCTGAGGACGTTTTATTTTTTTTTTTTCCTTTTTTTTTTTAAATCATTGTGCTGTGAAAATCAGCACTCGTGGGCCCATGCCGAGGGCTGTTTCTTTTTGCTGTGTTCCAATGGAGAGAGCAACGCTGCAGCTAAACTGGAAACATTCACAGATCCCTTCAGCTTTCAGCAAGCACCAGCTCCTGTCTTTCATGTCGATTATTCCGTTTTGCAAGCAGTTGAAAGGATTTGGCCAGAGCTGGTTTGAAGGGTGGTTCAGGCACAGCACTAAATCCTGAACAAAGCTGCTGCGTTTCCTTGCCAGCATGCAGGAAACATTTGTGGAGTGACAAAAACACCCGCTTTGGTCCTTCTGTGATGCAGTGAAAAGCCAGCCAGCACGGGAGACACCAGCCTCCCCTAGCTGGGGAGCTGCTGATGGGGCTCCTAGTGAAATATTGGGCTGTGAGCTGACAGAGTGGTGCTGTGGGGTGCTGGGAAGCCCTCTGCTATCTCCTGCAGAGATGGCAACCCAGCAAACTCAGGCTTGAGAAGGTTCCCTGAGGGTTTTTTCCCTCCTTTACTCTTTTCCTTATGGAAAAGGATGCAAATGGATAATTTGGTTTTATATACTGAAAAAGAAAAAAAGGAGGGAGGAGGTATTGATTTATTACTTACTTGTGATAACCTGGCAGCCTCCTCTTGCTGAGGCTCAAACTGCATTTGCAGCATAAGGTTCTTCAGACTTTTTCCAGCTCCCAGCCTGGCTCCATTCCCCAAAGCTTGGTAAATTTTTTGCCAAATCGAAGATTAAATTGCCTAGGGAATGGTAAACTGGAGGAGAAATTGAGAAGCAAACCCATTGTTTTAAATAGCACTGCTCCCACTGTCCTTTCTTGCAGAAATTCTGTATATTGTCACTAAAACAAAAAGGAAGGAAAAAAACCCTGGCTTCAGATCTGGTCAGCTTCTGCTGAATTTGATCTGGGAGAAGGCTCCTTCTTGACGCATGACTTGTGACACCCAAGTTTGGGCTGTACTCACTCAAGGGGAAGCGAAAGCTCCTTAAATAATGATAAGGAACCTCTATCAGTGCAGCTTTTAAGCTGTAGGCACACCAGAATCTGTGAAGGTGCTGGGCAGCTGCCCCAAGGACAGAGCTTGTTGAGGGTCCAGCAAAGACAAATCACCTTGGCCCCGACTTGTTGTTGCAGGGTCCATGTGAATGCGGGTGAGGTGAACACTGTGACCTGTTTGGGTGTTCTCCTTCTCTAAAATACAGATACTGGGTGTCCTTGTTGGCAGAAAAGGCCCTTTCTGCCCAGCACAGCACTGCCTTTTATCAGCCCTGTCAGTTTGCTCCATCGTGCATTTCCAGCTTCTCTCTCTGGCCTTGGTTACTCAGTCTCTGACACATGAGGGTGCAGTTTTGACTCTTTTCTCTGGTTCTCACTAGGGCAAATTGCTCAGAGTACTTCCCAATCTTCATCTCGCTCCTCTGGGTTGCTGGAATCTTCTTCCATCAAGGTAAGGGGAAATGGAGGGGGGAACCCCAACCCAAACCACATGTACCAGCAAAAAAAAACCCCAATTTAAATCCCCTTATGACTCAGGCATGTTCTCTCTGTACCCATGAGGAGGTTACTTGGGGAAAGCAAAGTTCCCCTTTGGCCGGTCAGACCAAGGAGCACCCCAACTCCAGCTTGCTGCTGGCAGCAGCCCAGCCAATCTCCTGGCCAGGGGAGAGGTTTGGTGGCACTGGCAGCCCTCGCTCCTTTGCCAGAGCCTGGCCATCCCCCTGCACTGCTTCTCTGGGATAAGGTCAGGCTGGCACGTGGTGCCCGGGTAGCAGCAAGCCAAAGCAGAGCTGCAACGTGATACCCAAATCCTAATGTCAGAATGAGAAACCATAACCCAAGCAATGAGTCAGCCACCACTCGTCTCCTCCGTGCCAAGCGGGCTTAGGGAATGCGGCTGCCACCATGGGGAAGATGTGAGGAAGGACCATGGAAGGGAGCATGGCAAACACAAGACCCAGGGCAGTTTGTGGGGGGCACAGAGAAGTTCTTTCATCACAAAAAGGGAAGGAAGAAAACCCATTTAAACTCCCACAGTGTTTTAAAGCCAAGTCCCTCTGCATTTGGCTCTTGTGGCTGTGCCCATCTGCAGGGGGAAGTGGGGATGTGGGTGACTGGGCTGGGCTGCAGCTCTGGCAGTGTGTGGGGACCCCCAGCCCCATCAGGACGGGGGTCTCCTCACTCCCCCAGGTGTGGCTGCAGTGTGTGGGCTGCTGTACCTCTACACCCGCTTCAGGTACTTCCAGGGATATGCCGCAGCTGCACAGGAACGGTTAGTACCTGGCCAGCACCACAAACCAACCCAGGGAGGCTGGGGGCAGGATGCAGTCCCTGGAGCAGGTTTCTTACCTGTGGGTGGGATTGAAGGTGGATTTGCATCTCGTGCAATGTTTGCAGTGGCAACACCACCTCTTCCCTGGCTCGGCCTTGAAGGAGGGTGGGGGAGCATATCCTGGGCTGCACCCCCAGCAGTGT